TAAATATCTCCGATCAGACCGCAGAATCGATCAGAATCATATCAACACAAATGCTGTTCTAATGAAAAACAACTAGATCATAACGGACAATACCTTTAATGTGTGCTTTTTCCTGACTTTTAGTGCTAGTTGGCGTTTGTCGTAGTTGTTGACTGCTAGAAACTTCGGCTTTGTCACTGGATTGCGATTTTGGCTCAGAGGGCTTAGATGATGATATTGGTGCTGGTGCTGATGGCGCTGTGCTGCCCAAATCCCCTCTTGATTCATCAGCATCTTCTTCATCCACCTGAACACTTATTTTGATTAATTGCTAATCTTATTCCGTATTCTACTGGTTGCTCACTATGTTAAAATTTTGATTGGCATTCATTTTATTATCATTTCAAATGTGAAAAAGTCAAATACAATTTCTAAAATCATCACAAAACAATTCCGAAATTCAAATATCCACTTGTTATTTCACGATCACAACAACAACTATGACAAAATAACTACAAGATCGCTGCAGTGATGCCGAAAAGAAACTACTAACCTCAACAGGCACGTCAAGCATGACGGCTGCTTGACTAGTACTATCAGTAGACGTAATTGAAGTACCGACCGCTTTATTCGTTCCATCGGTGGCTGCACTATCCCCTGGAGGTGCTGCTGACTGGGCGGTGGCACTTGGCGATTCACTGCTTGAATTCGAATGATCCCCTGATTCTGTGGGTTCGGGTTGATCTGCTTTTGAAGTCACAGTTTTGCTCGGTTCTGTTGCGCTTTTTGAATCTGAAGTTTCTTTCTGTGACGTCCATTCCCAAACCTTCTCAGGTGAATATTTAACCGCCATCTGACGATTCCTTTCCTTTCGCATATCATTAGGCATTCAACCACATGCTACCAATTAGAACCGTTTTCCCGTCGACAGAATAAGAAAGAAAAAGAACAACAAAAAAAAAATCCAACAGCTTTCCATCAAGTTCGCGAAGCGACATAAATAAATAAATTAATTAGAATCTATCCTAATTGAACGCATCTTAATTTCGATGAGAGTACATCTACGTCCAAAAATAATTACAAATCAAAGCCATTTCACTACCTTCACGAGAAGAATTTTGTTGTTGTGTGACTGCAGTGTTATTGATGAGATTTATCGCTTTTGGTGTTGTTGAAGGTTGTTGGTGTTGTTGTTGGGTATTCGTATCCTCGATGTTCATCTCATTCAGATTCTTATTACCTCCTTCTTTTGTGGACGGCTGTGAAGTGACCTGCTGCTGCTGTTGCGATTGCACAGCAGCAGCAGCAGCAGTGTTTTGTTGCGCAATCGCTTCGACCTTCTCAAACACTCCAACTCGAACCAATTGTTCCAACCAGAAATCCACATCTTTCGCGAACAACGACTTCATCAACTAAAAATTTTTACTGTTTCGTATTCTGATCGTTCGCTGAGTGAATCCTCTTAAATAACAATAATAATAAAAATCTTTCAAGATCTCAGAGCGCACAGTTACTCTCAAATCAACGACAAATCAAACACCTTTCAATTCACATGATATTTCTTTCCGTTTCTCATATTCTCACCACTCTTCTCAGCACTCAAATCCTCATCTATTTTAATTTGCTTTATCACACCTCATACCGAATTTCGTATAAACAACACCGTTATGATTCAGTAAATAAACATGAACGAACCAAACCTACTCAACTGGCTAAAGCTCAATATGTGACAATTATTAATAATGCCAGATGACATTCATCAAAATAGATGAACACTCTCAAAGCAATAAATCAAAAGCTGTC